TGATAATTAAGTAGGTACTTACTTCGAGTAAGAATATAATATGAATATTAATTTAAGAAATTGAAATTGCGGCTGCCTTTTTCAATAGTCTTTTCTCGAACATTATTAGCTAAAAATGGGTCCTAGAGAGTTTTGTTTCGTTTACTCAATATTACTTGTTCTAGAATAGTGTAATTTTGGATTAAAATGTTAATAATTATATCTCAGTTACTTCATATTCGTGGCATTTTAACATAATTAAGAGTTAAGCGAGCGGTATGAAAAGAAGCGCAAGCGGACCGAAACATTTATTATGGAGATTAGGATACCAACTTTATTTTAACAGTAGCCTTTTGATTACACTACGAACTTTCGGCACGCGTTCCAAAATGTCGCATTAGTTTTGCGTCGTGACATTAACGTGGGTTAGACAAATCGTTAAACTCATATAACTATCGGATTCGTTAGATGCCTACTTTTTGTTATTTTCCTGCTTTTACATTTTAAATTAAGTTTTTTTTTCTATAGGACAGGAGGAAACAAGCAGACGGTACCTGATGGTAAATGATTACCATCGCTCATAGACACAAGTGATGCAAATCCGTTTCAGTCCCGGGACTAAACTGAAACCTCTTTTTTCTTGTTAGCAAACGAAGATTAAGCCAGCTGAATTATTATGACAAGGGATACTGTAGCAAAAACTCAAACAGAGAACTTGAAACACTGTAAATTATGTTCATACCTATCCGCCCTTGTCATTTAGGCCGTTAGAACTTTAGTGTCAAACTTTACGAGCGTTTAGATGTCTGTATAATCCTCAATTTGTCTTCGTATGTTACTTCACACATGTTAGACATTCAAACATAATCTGTGAAATAGTTCAACCGGCAACATTGGGTCTTGTCAAGAACCTATGTCACTTTAGGAGTATTATTTAACCTTCACTAGTATTTGTACTTGTTAGATCAGCAATGAAGTTCCAATTTTCATTTACGAGTATGTTATTCGATTAAGGTCTTTTAGATTAGATCTAAGATTCTTCCAACAAATTACTTTTTTGTCCTAAAATCACTACGGACTACGGAGCTAAACAACATTATGCAAATGTCTATTGTTATGTCGTTTAGGACTAACCTGTTGCCGTCAAAGTACTAACTTGTAATTTATAAAACAACTAGCTTAGTATTTATAAATAAAGCGAAGGCCGCACCTCAAACTGAGCTGGGCTTAAGTTAATCCTATTAACACGAGCAGAAGCGCAAACTTGGTATAAGGAAAACTGGTTTTATCTCCGATATAATTACTAACCTAAGTATTTACTTACTTGTTGCTACCCTTACGTATTCCCTAAACATTGATTAAGTCTGGGTATGTGGTTATAAAATTACGAATAATGAATATTGCAAATATCGTTTAGTAAACGTATCATCATCATCATCATTATCATCATCTAAGCCACAGGATGTCCACTGCTGAACATAGGCCTCCTTCAATGCTTTCCATGTTGCCCGGTTGGTAGCGGCCTGCGTCCAGCGCCTTCCTGCTACCTTTACGATGTCGTCTGTCCACCTTGTGGGCGCATAGAGCAATGAGCGTATAGATAATATCAAATCCTAATAGCATGTTCTGCGTACAGTACATAAAAGATGACCAGATATTTCAAGCACGATATTGAGTATTGTAAAAGGGAACGATAGAATATCATAATAAGTCGACAAGTTTCATCATCATCTTCATATTATTGTGTAAGAATTCAAATAACAGATCGCTGAATCCAAAAAAAGGTTTAAGAATACATAATACGTATTTCTCACAAAATCTTGGGGTGAAAATTTATTCCATCAATATTTACAATACACACATCCAATCACCTCGATGTTTGCGTTGCCAGATTGCAAGCGGCAATTTAAGTCCAATAGAATGCGGGCGATGTGCAATATTGCGCCACACTCAAACAATCAAGCAATGATGTTTGGTATGTCGGCAAATAAAATGAGTTACATAAGGTACAGTCAGCGTCAAATACTTAGTGACAGCCAAAGTGGCCAAAATGTTGACAACACAACCTTATTTAAATTGTAACAAAGACGTGTTGCGTACCTACTTTTTGGCTTACAATCTGTGTGTGAAACAGTGTGGAAAATAAATATCACACGAAGTAACTTGTAATAAATAAGAAGCTTTCAAATGTTACTGAGTTTCTTCCGCCACTTCTTCTTAGCACCAGCCCATATGTTGTCCCGAAGTGGTGATAGGGCAAGCTTCATTGAGGCGTGTATAAGCGCCCTGTAAATCCTACATGCTAAAAAAATAATTTCAATTTTACAAAACCAAACAACTACTAAGAATACTTGGATGTATAAAAAAAGAGTGATCCAACGTTTAGACGCTAATCGTCAGTTGGAGTCTTTTCTGTAATCGTAAATGTATCGATATGCCAAATTAATGTAGCTGCTTATCCAATGAGGCGTCTTCGTTTCGGTTTTTAGATCAATCTGTCTTTGTCGCTCATGCCAGCATCTGGCTTAGAATGAGGGGTATTGATAGATCTTAAACCTCAAACAGTATTATAGCTTCGTGCTTTGTTAAATGATGCGATATCTTAAAAACAGACTTTATTGGTACTTTTTTCGTTGGTTCAAGTTCCTCTTGTATTCAGTTTAAATCGATTTTTAAAGTACACCTGTTTGAGATACCTAATAATATTTTGAATGCTAAAACCCCAATGGCTTGAATGTTACGAAATAGTTTCAGACTTTGCCTTGAATAGATCTTATCAAAGAGGGTACATCAGACATAATACTTCTTTACTAATGTAACGTTTGAGTTTAGTCATTGTTGAAACTGTTCACTTTGTTCAAGGATAGGTACACTAGGTACCTATGCAAGGCAACATATTTGGCAAATTGACTTTTTAAAATTGGTGAAAGTAACCTACTCTGAAAAAGGTAAGACATGTGCCTATTTCAATTTGTTGTGCAGCAGACAATGCTAAATTATTCTGCTCGTCTGGTTTCACTTTGTACTTATATATTACGTATTCCCTTAAAATCCGTACATGAAATTATTGTATCCGCAATGAAATGAAATGTTAGCAGTCGTTAGGTTCGCAAATTGCAAAAAAGATTAAGCATGAATTCATTCTGAATATGACATAATATAGATAATTGGAGCGGTCGGTTCTCGGATAAATTTAATTTTCATCCTATTAGCCTACTTCTGGAATCTTCCAGTACTAAAACGCATAAAAAAATGACATTAAAATGTATGACGGATTGTACTGTACAGTTCCCCTAGCCCAAACGTTGAAGAACTAAAAGGACATTGTCAGAAACCGCCTAAAAAACCGCCCAAAAACATTAACCCATCATAATTATTTTCTATTTTTTTTAATACATTAAGCACCCTTTCATTCTAATGGACACTTAAGCATTGAAAAATTAAATAAATAAGTCTTTTAACGTTTATTCTATAATACTATTACAACTTCCGGACGTTTTGGTGCGTGGCATGGTCTAAAACCTATCAAGTTCCATAATTTTTGCCGATAAAATCTGTACGAGGCATTACCGTACTTTATTGCTGGGAGTCCATGTATAGTGATGTTCCTGCGGCCATCATAGACAATAAAATATCGATTTTGAAAATAAAATAAATCGATTAAACTGCTTTGAAGACTAGATTTGCGTTAAAAGCTAAAAAGATATTGACAGTTTGACACTATTACAAGAAGATATCTAAAGTGTCCAACTGGTCGAAGGTCGTAAATAAAATAAAAATAATTAGGACCATAAACTGATATTCATGATATGTTACTGTAAAAGTTCGAACTACGGTTAATCTTAAGATTTAAGTGTAAGTATTAGGATTTACCGACATGAGTTGGTAAATGTAAGTATTTATGAAAATACGACGATTTTTTCGAGCTTTTACCATTCGAATTCAGTATATGCTAGGTTTTACCTCTGTCAGCTGGTAGATGTTGGTTTTAGGAATAAAACAATGAGTAATTCTTAATTACTTACTTTCATCAACTATTAGACAAAACAGGTACATAGTATTTATAAAGGTATCATAATATTATGATAGTAATAAGTACCTACAAACTAATACCAACTTATTAAAATTATTTGCAATCATTACTTTTTCTTGTGTTTTGGTGTTCACATTTTTACTGTTTCCTTTTTTTATTCCTTCTGACACATTACCAACGATGATGTTTTCGTAAGTTTACAGAACTTTTAATTAGTAAGATTATAACAAAAATGATAATACCATGGATTTCGTCAATGGTATAGACGAAATTTGAAGTGGAAAGAAATCGGAATTATAATAACCCAGTATTGATAGTAGCGCATACCTGTAAATATCATATCTAGCCTATCTAGGACACTGAAATTTTGTACTGCATGCATCCTACTAATATAATAAACGCGAAAGTTTGTGTGGATGTTTGTTACTCTTTTCAAGCAAAAACTACTGAACTGATTTTGATGAAACTTTACAGTATTATTGTTTATAACCCAGAATAACATATAGGCTATAATTTATGGCGATCTGTGACAAATTAAAATTCACGCGTGTGAAGCCGCGGGCGAAAGCTAGTATTTTATATGACATGATCTTACGTTGCTAAAGAAAAAANAGAGTGGCAGGGTGTAACAAGCGCCGCACGAGCTGCCCGCTTGTTTCGAGAACGGGTCTGCGTTGCCCGCCCCGCTCCCGCGCCGCTGCCCGCTAAACTCGAGGCTGAGGCCTAAGCGTCAGTTCGCGTGCGAGACAGAGCCAAGAGACCAAGGCGGAAGACTGCGACCGTTACTTGACTTAGTTCACTGTCTCCTGTCTCTGTCTCGCTTGTGAACTGACGCTTACACATTGCCTAAAGTCAAGTAGTGGTCGCGGTCTCTCGTCTCGGTCGTTTGTCTCGATTACTTGCGTCTGTCATAGCACCGCTGCCTTTACATAAGCTGTTTCTATATTGAAGTTAATTCTGTAATAAGATAAACCGCAAAGCCACTCACCATCCGAGTACCGCCTGAAGAGTATCGTCTGGGTGCGCAAGATGAGCACGATGTTGTTGGTGTTGGGCCCGTCTCCCGTCCACACGTTGCGGCTGCAGAGGAACTCGTATGCTTGGTTCACCGCCTCGAAGCGATCCTGGTGAACATATGGCTCGTATGAAACAATAGTGGAAGGATATCATCAAGGCAGTGTCGCGGTAATATTATATGTACTTGCTACAAGTCACATTCAAGAGCTGGTGACACCGTTTCATAAAAATATCGCTTATTACCATCATTCCTTGCATATTATAACAATGAACACGTCGTGCTTGTATGAAAAACCGGGATTGAAAAATCTCATCAAGACTTAAAATTAATGAGAAAGCAAGACGGCACTGCTATTGCCGCCGTTAAACGGGTTAATACTGGGACGTGTAAAAGTGCTTTTTTAAAGCCTACTTGCTTAGATTAATGAGTTTCGTGAGTTTTATAAAGACTCGAAGAGCTGCTTCCCTTGCTATAAAAGAAGATGCAAGAAGTTTCTACCCACTTGTGTGATAGACAAGTATCAGAACCATAAACTAAAATGAATAGGTATTATCAATATGTACGATAACTCACCCGTCCCTCAGGATTCTTATCAGGATGGAACTGCTGCGCGAGCCTGTAGTAGGCCTTACGGACCGCGGCCTCGTCGTGCTGGTTGCCACTCAGGCCTAACACAGCGTAGGCCTCACTGGCCGTCATGGCAAGGGCTTCCTATGTGTATATAACGATATGTACGATAACTCACCCGTCCCTCAGGATTCTTATCAGGATGGAACTGCTGTGCGAGCCTGTAGTAGGCCTTACGGACCGCGGCCTCGTCGTGCTGGCTGCCGCTCAGGCCTAACACAGCGTAGGCCTCGCTGGCCGTCATGGATGGAGGCTTCTTCTCCACTTCGCGGCGCCACGCTTCTAACACGTCTTTTAGTAAGCCCACCTGAGGAGATAAAGGCGCAATGAGTTTTTGTAAGGCAGATATAAGTCTTTAAGAAGTGGACTTTAAGTCTAGTAATAGGGTATGCGATTGTTTGCATTTTGCACGATTCATATTGTCAAGAATGTAATTTTGGCGATATCTGATGCTTATAATAGGTTCACAATCCCGATCACACTTAAGGGCAAAAATTATGTCATTACGTTTGAATAGAGTACACACACGGTGCAATATTGCAGTGCGTTGATTCAGTAAGGGTCTATGGAATAGAAGATGTGGTTCTAGAGCTTGAGGCTGTGCGTCACTAGTGTTACGTACCATAGTTCGTGACACCCAAGTGGTCAAAAAGTTGACAACACAACCTTATTCCATTGTAACAAAAAAATATGGCGAATTTATTGGCTGCTTTAGGGGTCACAAATTCTTTGACGTTTATTGTCCGATACCGAATTTGGTCGCTACATTCCCTACAATATGGTCGAGTGAAGCGACGGCTGGTTCATACGCCAAGTCTGTGAACAGGCGCTGCCTTCGGGGACTGGTCTCCATAGGCTCCTTATGTGCATTTGACGATTTGTAAGTACTAATTTAATTAGTCTACACAAATAAAGATCATTTTGATTTTGATTTTGGTATGCATCACTGTACAGTACCGGGTCGGGTTTGGGCCAGTTGGGGAAGCGGCGCGTGTCGCACAGGTGGCGCAGGTAGAAGGTGTTGCAGAACAACTCGGCTTCCAGATGCGGGTAGCGGACAGCTGGCGTCACTACAGCGGGCGGTACAGTACCGGGTATAGTATGCATCAGTACAGTACCGGGTCGGGTATGGGCCAGTTGGGGAAGCGGCGCGTGTCGCACAAGTGGCGAAGGTAGAAGGTGTTGCAGAATAACTCCGCCTCCAAATGCGGGTAGCGGACAGCTGGCACGGCGAGGTACGGGTAGCGAGCGGCCACGTGCGCGCGCAACCGCGGCGTGAACTCGCCGATGTGCGCTGCTACCTTCATTATCAGGATGCGTCTGTGAACATAACACAAACAAACACGTGAGCTTAAAGAGTGTCCTAAGTCAGCGACAAATCGCAAAGTGACGCGATGAGTGGGATCACAACAAAATTGCATCTCTTGATTGCGGCCTAAGAGCCAGTGTACGGCGATACGCTGACTTAGGTCCTTGCCACACTGGCGGATTGCAAGCGGAGCGCCGCGCCGCTGCTCCGCCCAGAAAACGCCTGCAATCCGCCAGTGTGGCAAGGCCCTTAGACACAACGTGTTACGGGTTTATGACTGAAAATTCAAGCAAGAAGATTCATACTTGTAACATAGCTTATCAAATATGACTGCGATATAAAGACACACTAGTTACCAAGTTAAAATATCCCGAGGGGTCACATATGTTATTGCAGTGTTTTACAACCTGTGGGTCTACTCTACAGGGGGGTCGCGAGAGGTCGTCAAAAATACGATAAAGTTAAAAAAGTATAAACCGAAACCTAATTATGCAAATGCATAAATGTTGTATGGATTGAAGTATTCGGTCCCTACAACATCTTTGTAACATAATAAAATGCATGAAAAAAAATGGTCTAGGTCGCAAAATATTTTTTCATACTAAGGTTGAAAAACACTGTGCTATTAAAATCAAGCAAGAACAGTATCTATGTTTATCATCATTATCAGATCGATGCTGGCATTCAACACCCCATAGGCACCTGAAAAATGCTCCATCCTACCTCATTTCAGAGTTCCAGATTGCCTCGGGAGTATCCCATTCCCCGAGGAAAATCTGCGCAAACTTCTCCGCGCCGTGGTTCTCTAGATAGCACACCATCGCTTCGGGCAGCAACTGGCCAAGTATCGAGCGCTGCATTATGTCTGAAGTAGTCTGAAAACAAACATAATGTAAAACCACGGTGAAACCGTCTTACGCCCGTATTCACAAACGATGCTTGCTTGAGTGAAGCAGTAAATCGAACGCACAGCGTTAAATAGAGCTCTGTGATTGGTTCGTATATCACCCTGTGCGTCCACGCGCACTGTGAGACCTCATAGTAACGTTTGTGAATACGGGCGTTATATGCGTCGTCTACACTTGTATTATTCATTCAATCATTCATTCGTTCAGCATACAAACACTTTTTTTACAAGATCACATTCTACAAAGCTACATGTAAATGTAATTTAGAATTGAATAACAACAGACAGCTTTTTATATGTTTGATGTTTTAAAAAATCAGTCAGTAAAATAAAGTATTCAGTAATAAAATAACATTACCACAATTTCTTTCAATGATTTATGTTACCCAAAATTCCAATTGGATCTCAAAAATCTCATTAACGTGTGTTTAAAAACTCACTTGATCAGCCCTGAACGCTTGTTTCATATGCGTGAGCCGCAGGAACCTGGCGATTGGAAGTAAATTGGACCCAGTGTACAGCAGCATAAAGTAGAATACGCCAGTCAAGTACAACTTCGATATTTCAGGGTTGTCCTGCATCACTTCGTGTAGTAATGTTGCCACCTGCAAAAAATACCTAATTAAGAAAATCTATCTCGTTTTCCTTTTTGAAAAATTAATATTCAGAAGTGTGAAATGAAATTTAGCTCTAGCCGATTTTATTTATCGACATGTTAGCCTGTAGTGACGCCAGTGACGCAAGAAAATGCTATCAAAAATGTTAACTTAGTTTATTTTATTTCGTTTAGTAGGTAAGAAGAAAAGGAAATACCATGACTATTGAGATATGCGCCTGGTGGCCGCTAAGAAACTTCTTTTTTTTTTGTAAAAGTTTCTTAGCGGCCAGTTTTTTTTTTCGCTTTGAGCAATTATTTTTGACATGGAAGGATTTTTTTATCGTATCGATGATTAATCAAGGTATTTCAGGCAGTTTTTAAGAATCTCACAGAGTTAACAAAACGCAAAAAACTTTTATAAATATTCTACCTTTTCAACAAGAATAGGGTCAAAAGTAAGCAGCAACTGTACAACGTGAGCGAGACACGCCGGCTCCGATAACAGCCGCTTGACTTTGGGCAGAGGTCGTATTACTGCATCTTCTTCGTCTCTGGAGAAAAAAACAACACATTTTTCTAGAACTTACTATCATCAGATTACATTTTAATAATATAACCTGCTTGGTTACAGCGTGGTTCAAAACAGGCAATAGGAAGTCGAACTGTTTAGGGAAAATGCACCTCCAAAATGTCGAAAGTTTAGTGAATCATTGACATAAACTCCACCCTACTCAAAACACATTCGTCTGCACCTCAGTGTACTAAAAATGCATTAGCGGCATTCGTCATTCCATGATAAGTTAACCTGTTAGTGTCTGCACAAACATGATTTCCACTTACCTGCTAGGGTCTAGTATGGTAGCAGCCAGCTCGCTTTCATTCAGGACGGGGGTCCCGCGCGCCGCCAGCGTCCATTTTAACTGCGGGACCCCGCCCACGGCTCGCCAGCCTTCCATTCTATTAACCCAGCACTAGTTTCTTCGCTTACCTGCTAGGGTAATACCGAGCGCAAGTGATCAGCAGGTCCAGGATAGTAGCAGCCAGCTCGCTTTCATTCAGGACGGGGGTCGCTAGCGTTCATTTGATCTTCAGGACCCCGCCTCGGCTCTCATCCCTTTATGATGTTGTTGTTGATCCTACATTTTGTTTCCCCACTTACCTGCTGGGGTAATACCGCGCGCATGTGATCAGCAGGTCCAAGATAGTAGCAGCCAGCTAGCTTTCATTCAGGACTAGGGTTCCTCGCGCCGCCAGCGTCCATTTTAACTGGGACCCCGCCCACTGCTCTCCAACCTTACATACTATTAACCCAGCACTTGGTTTCTTGACTTACCTGCTAGGGTAATACCGCGCGCAAGTGATCAGCAGGTCCAGGATAGTAGCAGCCAGCTCGCTTTCATTCAGGACAGGGGTCCCACGTGCTGCCAGGGTCCATTTGAGCTGCGGGACCCCGCCCACGGCTCGCCAGCCTTCCATGCTGTTGGCCCAGCATTTGGTCTTGTTGTTGATCTCGCCGGACTTGTACAGGTCTTTGAGCTGTTGATAAGAAAATAATTTAATAAGGAACAGAAATTCTAGTAGTTTCTGACAGATTTATGGAGGAAAAAGTGGCAACACAGTAGGTCTTGCCAGCGCAAAAATAATTGCACTCATTAGTTGGTGCCATTAGCGAATGAGGACCTTACTTACTGTACAACACTGCTGTTCTGGTGAATGCGTAGGTCATCAGCTAACCAGTTGACACTACTGTCTGCTCTAACGAGTGACAAGAAAATAAGGCAGTTGCAGCCCTACTACCGTGACAAACGCGACGTGGATTGGGCTTCTTGAAATTATAAAAACAGCAGTTGAATGCGCCACAGTATCCCTTACTCTACAATGGTGCCAACTGAACTACGCCAGTCATTCACCTGCTGGAAGCTAACAGGGCCCATTCTCTGCACCTTCTCCCCCTGTTCTAAGTTGTAATACCACTGACCCTCTATCACGTTGCTCTGAGCTGATACTGTTTCTCAAGACTTATGTTAGTGACCTCTTACACCAGCCACTTACTTGCTGAAAGCTAACAGGGCCCATTCTCTGAACTTTATCTCCCTGTTCCAAGTTGTAGTACCACTCGCGGTCGCCGCCGCCTGGTTGCTGCGAGGGGCCCTCTATCACGTTGCTCTGAGCTGGTACTATGGCTTGAGACATGATAATGATCTCTGTTACACCAGAAACTTACCTGCTGGAAGCTAACAGGGCCCATTCTCTGCACCTTCTCCCCCTGTTCTAAGTTGTAGTACCACTCGCGGTCGCCGCCGCCTGGTTGCTGCAAGGGACCCTCTATCACGTTGCTCTGAGCTGGTACTGTCTCTTGAGACTTATAATAATATCTGTTAACACTAAAAACTTACCTGCTGAAAGCTAACAGGGCCCATTCTCTGCACCTTCTCCCCCTGTTCTAAGTTGTAATACCACTCGCGGTCGCCGCCGCCTGGTTGCTTCGAGGGACCCTCTATAACGTTGCTCTGAGCTGGTACTGTCTCTTGAAACTTATAGTGATATCTGTTAACACTAAAAGCTTACCTGCTGGAAGCTAACAGGGCCCATTCTCTGCACCTTCTCCCCCTGTTCTAAGTTGTAATACCACTCGCGGTCGCCGCCGCCTGGTTGCTTCGAGGGACCCTCTATAACGTTGCTCTGAGCTGGTACTGTCTCTTGAAACTTATAATGATATCTGTTAACACTAAAAACTTACCTGTTGGAAACTAACAGGGCCCATTCTCTGCACCTTCTCCCCCTGTTCTAAGTTGTAGTACCACTCGCGGTCGCCGCCGCCTGGTTGCTGCGAGGGACCCTCTATCACGTTGCTCTGAGCTGGCACTGTCGCTCGAGACGTGTGAAGGTGGGCCAAGGTCATCAGGTCTACTAATATCCTGGTGGAGAAGAAAATTTCCACAAGCATATTATATCTTCGTTATATCAAGCACATTAGTAAGCACATTGATTTCTACGTAATTTAATAACACACTATATTTTGCAAACTTACCTAATTCCATTCCATTCTAAAATCTCGCTAACATTTCTTCTATGAAGTATTAATTTTGCAACAAATTGTACTAGTCTATCTCTTTCCATTCTGTCGCATGTCTGAAAGAAATTACCTTTTTAAATAAAATTGGTTAAGAATCAATCATTTACAAATACAATTCAAAAATAAGAAATCTTGCTTACTCTATCTAACATTTGTACAATATATTTGGTGTCCGCGAAAGGGCCGATGTCTTCGTAGTACCTCCCATAGACAATACTCATAGCTTGCAAACACATGCACTTCATTTCTACCTTCGGCGTTGATAGAAACCGGTGGTACAAGTCGTTGAAGAATTCATACCTGCAATAGAAGACACGTGACAACTATAGAACGAAATTCAGGAAAATATTTGACTTATAAAATAAAACTGTTTAAAAGGAGTAGTATTTGGAGTATCCTCGGTGTTATAAAACAATTTACAGGCATAGCATTAGCACGTGAGTATAAGGGCCTTCGCCCACGGCGACTTTTTGTAGCGATGCAGTTGCACTTCTGTAGCGCGTTAGTAGCGCGTTGGCATCACTTCTGTAGTGCGTTGCAAATGCAACTAATGCGCGTTAGTAGTGATGCTGTCGCTCGTTTACGAAACGCCCGACATAAAGTAGCCGTGGGCGAGGGCCCCAAGCTGCATTATAAACCTGAAGTCGATGCAATAACAATGGTTTAGGATTCCTAACACTAGCGTCTTTCGAGCGTCGTCGTCTCGCCAGCGCCTGCGCAGTACATCAACTCTCTCTAAACTAAACATGACGTCAATGCTGAGCTGAGCGCCTGACAAACTTGACCTTCACTGGTAGGGTTTTATTGGCGGTCAAGCTGTAGATCCTGGCTACACAGAAGTTACTGTGGTGGGAATAGTCCCTTGAGCGGCTGCCGAACGGCCGGTGAGCGTGGGTCCCTTAAAATTCGCTGTTCGCTGATTACGGGACGTACTTACGACTTGCGTATCGGGCTGTCGTCGCTGTCTCGCTGTTCCAGCAGTATCCTGAGGTAGTAGTCACCGATCTTGACCTCGTTCTGGAGGCACTGGTAGTGGACTTCCATTTCCGTGTGGTTCCAGGAGGTGAGTGCACCACCCGCGGATTCACGGTCCGACATGAACGCGCGAAGTTCACTCTCTAAAGCGTTGCGGAGTTCTTCGCGAGTCTGTGGAAAGAATACTCATGTAACTACTTTCGAAATGCGGGTTTAATTAAAAATATACTTGGACGTTTTACACTTCACCATCTTGTACCAAACTAAACAAAGAGAATAACATTTTAAGGTTCCTTTGGATCCTACCTACTTCTGTTTGTAGTTTTTTCATAAAAAGGATCAACTTTTAGTGGTGAAAGTAATGAGAGAAATAATCATGTCGGTTTCATTTTTATCTTGGCGAATAATTAAATATCTTTAAATCTACAGCGTAAAGTCAGCGTCAAATACTTCATGACACAAACGAAATAACAAAGTAGCTAGAGTACATATTACTTACTTAACACCAGGTAGGTTGTGTTATCAACTTTTTGGCCACTTTGGGTGTCATGAACTATTTGACGCAGACTGTTTTAAAATAACTCACCGTATGGTTCCATATGAGATTAGGCAGCGCGTGGTCCCGGTGAAACTGGTAGTACAGCAGCGGCCAGTTAGCCGTGCTCTTGAGGCGCTCGCGGCGCCGGCGCAGCACTACAGGGCGTTCTCGGGCCTCGCGTCCTGCCCCTGGAGCCCCAGCCGCCGCAGCGCCACGCCCAGTCCGTTGTGCCCAGTGCTGGAGTGCCAACGCCGCGTAGTGCTGTCATAAACAAACGCTAATATAAAAACTGATGAAAAAAGACTACACAAAAGGGCCAATCGCGTGTATCACGCCCCTCCTGCTACCCCTGCACTCCGCCCAGCCCGTTGTGCCCAGTGTAATAGCCGAGAAGTGTTTTTAATGCAGCGTTGTGCTGTCATTGAAAACACTTCACGTCAAAGCTGATAAAATAATAAGTGACTAGAATATGCGCCGGCGCAGCACTACAGGGCGTTCTGGCGCCTCGCGTCCTGCCCCTGGAGCCCCCGCTGTCCCCGCACCCCGCCCAGTCCGCTGTGCCCAGTGCTGAAGTGCTAACGCCGCGTAGTGCTGTCATAAAGAAACATTTCTTGTCAGATGATCAAAACAAGACGCTAGACTATGCGCCGGCGTGGCGTATACTCCGTTGTGCCCAGTGTTGTAGTGCCAACGTGCTGCCATAAACAAACACCTCATTTCAAAACTGATTAAAAAAGGGACTACACAACGGGCTTAATGCTACCCCGGCACCACGCCCAGTCCGTGGTGCCCAATGCTGAAGTGCTAACGCTGCGTAGTGCTGCCAAAAACAAAAACTTCATGTCAAACTAAACAAGTGACTATAATATTATTATGCGCTGGCGTGGCATCACGGCCCGCTCGAGCGCCTCCCGCTCGCTCAAGCCGATAAAATAATAAGTGACTATAATATGCGCCGGCGCAGCACTACAGGGCGTTCTCGGGCCTCGCGTCCTGCCCCTGGAGCCCCCGTTGCCGCGGCGCCACGCCCAGTCCGTTGTGCCCAATGCTGAAGTGCTAACGCTGCGTAGTGCTGCCATAAACAAACGCTCATATAAAAACTGATGAAAAAAAGACTACACAAAAGGGCCACTCGCGTGTATCACGCCCTTCCTGCTACGCTTGCGCTCCGCCCAGTCCGTTGTGCCCAGTGTAATAGCGCGAGTGCCGCGTAGTGCTGTCATTAAAAACACTTCACGTCAAAGCTGATAAAATAATAAGTGACTAGAATATGCGCGCCGGCGCAGCACTACAGGGCGTTCTCGGGCCTCGCGTCCCGCCCCCGGAGCCCCCGCTGTCCCGGCACCCCGCCCAGTCCGCTGTGCCCAGTGCTGAAGTGCTAACGCCGCGTAGTGCTGTCATAAAGAAACATTTCTTGTCAGATGATCAAAACAAGACGCTAGACTATGCGCCGGCGTGGCGTATACTGCGTTGTGCCCAGTGTTGTAGTGCCAACGTGCTGCCATAAACAAACACCTCATTTCAAAACTGATTAAAAAAGGGACTACACAACGGGCTTAATGCTACCCCGGCACCTCGCCCAGTCCGTTGTGCCCAGTGCTAATTATCTCCCATTCAATCTAAGTACATCATTTTTTCATTTTATTTCATTAGTATCCATAATTTTTTCGTTGCAAAATAGCATCTATCACAACCACAATAAGGGCTCTTTAAACTCACCTCGATATGCTTCTCGACGTACTTGACCTGCCGCTCCAAGGCCTCCCAGTGCGGCGCACGCGCTTTCACCGTCGCCTGCGCAAGCTGCAGGTTGTCTCGTTCTTGCATGCGCTCCTCTTCTAACGCGGCCGCGGGCGGCGCTTCCGCTGACTCCAAGAACGCTAGCAGACCTGATGGCTGGATGGAAATGAGGTAGTTTAGATACACTGTCGTGTATTTTGATATTTGCAAACAAGATTTGTGTTCACATTACTTATTTTGAAAGTTAAAATCTAAGGCTGGGTTGCACCATCTTACTTTAACTTTGACAAACGTCAAAAGCCTGTCAAACTCCATACAAAAAACACCGGTTATCGTCATAGTTACTGTTATAGTTAGTAGTGCAACTCAGCATAAGAGTCAGTTTTGCTACTAAAGTTGTCCATAGGTGAATCCCATAGAGTGCGATGATATTCTTGTTGATACTCTTACGTCGACGTAAAAGGTGACAAGTAGTACTAAACACTTATTTTAGCACTAATGAATGGTGAATTCCATATCCATAACGCATTGCACCGCTGACCATTGATAGCGATGTTTGAAGACTCGGAGGCCCGACGACTGCTAGCGTAGCTGCGTAGCTTGTAGCCAGATGCTTTCCTGATGTTTGTAGTGCGAGCCTAATTGGCACAGGCTTGAACTACAAATATTCAGAAAGCATCTTCAATATGATCCCGTCTTGGGTGAATTATGTACTGCTGCTGAATTAAATCTTCAATGCTTTAGTTATCCAATGTAATCGAAGATTCTGGAGCTTTTAGTCTACCTCTTGTGAACAATATTTTAAAGTTACAAGTTAGATAATTATGTCGATAATTTGACCCGGACACGCTCTAGTGCGTCTCTATAAAATTATAGCTTTGTATTAACAAACCCCTTACACTAAAATACAGTTAACGCATACTCACCCACACTAATATAACAGGAAAACATCAACTCACCATCAGCCTCGTCAGCAGGCTATGCGCCGGCGCATGGTCGACCAACCACAGCGCGACCAAATGCCTCGCAAGATGGCGGTGGTGTAGCCGCGCCGGTGCGTATAGCGCAGCTAACAGATGCCTCGGCAGCGCCGCTTCGGCCAACGCTAGGGCTTGCATGCGAGAACCGACGGTGCCGCCGCCCTCCTCGATTAGGAGACCTACGCCTTAACTATCGCCATGAGGGGTGCTGTTAGAATAACAAACTGAACTCACCATCAGTCTTGTCAGTAGACTATGCGCCGGCGCATGGTCAACCAGCCACAGCGCTAGCAAATGCCTCGCAAGATGGCGGTGGTGTAACCGCGCCGGCGCGTACAATGCAGCTAACAGGGCCCCAAGTCCGCTAATTTACAAATGGCTCAATTGAATCGTAATCGAATCTCAATAGAATTATTTGACACTATTGGTATTCTGCTAATAAAAAAAGACCAATGATTTTCCAATGGCATTCCATTGAACTGCCATTGGACTATTTGGTAGTCTGCTCTTCAATCGTGTTACAATCGTAAATCGATTGTGGGTTAAAATGGTATTCTACCACAGATATATCTGTGTATTCTACTATTATTTGACGTTTGTTTGACATTTGGTCCAATGAACTCTCAATGGCAATTTTGCTATTAGAGTACGATTGAGCAACAATAGGTGTTTCTGTGGTGTTACTTACGATTTCTGTGTTCGTGTTTCGTTTAAAATTAATTATGAGAACATCAGTGGCATGTTTACGCATTTTAGCTTTGACTTATACCCGATAAGTATCGAAGATGGATCGGTGGATGCCCTAAATCAAGATTTACCTGAATCGGAACATTTGTAAAAACATTGCGACTCGGAAAGGCGGAAGTGAGGGTCCTGACGGAGATCATCATCAACATCACTGTTGAACATAGGAAAGGAAATCATTGGGAGAGGCCCCATGATTTCCATAATGACCAGTCAGTAGCAGCCTGCACCCAGCGCCTGCCTGCTGCCTTTACGAGGTCGTCTCTCCACCTTGTCCTACACTGCAACTTTCAGTACCTGGCCTCCACTTCAAAACCTTACTGCCCCATCGGCCGTCAGTTCTGTGTCATCATTTCTTACATACTTTTATTGTTTGGTGTTGGAAATACCTAGGTTATTACTTGATGTTATAGGTTCTATAGATTTTGGATTCCTGGAGTGTAGGCTGCATAGAAGGCACTCATATGGCACTACTCAATATCCTGAGCCTGGTCATACATGAGGAACAATATTATAACAGAAAGGGACATAATTACCTTAATATTACGGTTGTATCTTATAATATGACTTCATCATCATCATTTCAGACATCCACTGTTGAACATAGGCCTCCCCCTTATGTATAATTATGTGACTTATAAAGTCATAGTCATAATGTTTTATTGCATCATGTTGGTTGGTACATAAAATTAGGTCTTAAATACAATACAATCCCGGAAACATGAGCCATGTAAGGGTATCACAACATCTAAATAATTAATTTATTATAGGTAGCTACACTTTATCTTAATTATTTGAATACAATTGCTAATTATCTTTTAAAATTATTGAGATCATAAAATTATTTAATAGGTATAATAAAAAGATTTATTTAAAAGTCATTCTTTTAATTTTCTAACAAAATATTAATTATCTTCTTTAATATTTGTTTTTTTCTTTTTGTTTCTTTCAGTATCTTAATAAACACTTTTAAATTGACATGGTGATATGTGCCTGAGCGTACCAGATGTAATTTTNCATAGGTAGCTACACTTTATCTTAATTATTTGAATACAATTGCCAATTATCTTTTAAAATTATTGATATCATAAAATTGTAAAAGGTTTGGCTATCCTATCGCTGTCTTAGGTTTATTAAAATTTATGTATGCTAGTAATTTCTACTAGTATTTAAGTATATTAATCTGTAAGTCTAGACACTATCATGTCACTACCTTGTTTAATATACCTACCAATCAATTTTGTATATGCATTCTTATAAGATACACCATACAAGAATGCATGGTAAATTCAGTGCGAACTGCTCCTGAATCAAATGTACCTACTATTGCTATTTATTTATATTAACTGGCAGACAGTGGTGACTGAGTTTGTTGCGGCACTTCTTCTCAGAACTTGCCAAAATAATGTTGATCTTGAAGCGCTGGTAGGGTAAAAAGATAATGAGACATGACTCCTCAAGAGAAAAATATTTGACGATTTGTAAGTACTATTAATTAGTTCTTTCTCTCTTTCTTTCGAGTAGTTTAATTCTAAACAAATAAAGAAATTTTGACTTTGACTTTCTTTCTTGAGAATACAAATCATTTTCTTGAGCTTATTCAATGAAGATTTTTTCTAACAAATTTACACTAACATTCCTACATTAGGCTACAATGAGTCAAGTCTCAGAATATTAAGTCTCATAAAATGAGATCTGCGACTGTCCATATATCTGTGATGTTAATAAATTCTATTGCATCTTTTTTGTAATATAAAATTGATTAACTTCTGTAGGTACTGTTACTTCAAAGAATTATCCCATAGTTTAGCCAAGCATTAGCCTAAGCAGGCATAGTAGACACTGGTAGCAGTTATTAGATCCGGTAGCNGTAATTATCCCTGCCCCTGAGCTTCGGGACGTTCAAGGAATAATTTGAAGTCATTTTCCCCGTGCTGTATAAAGACTATTATTACTTTTCACAATTTTAGCGGGACTGGGCCCATAACCTATTAAAACACACGTAGGTTCGGTAACGCACTGACGCTTTATTTTTATAGACCACAGACAATACATGTCATAGATATTATAAGTCAAAGATATTATAACAAAATCGAATAGTGTAAAGGCCAAGTATGTTTAAAATTAAATACTTGTGATGAATAACTTATTTATTTGCATAAGGATTAATATCATGTTTATGAAAAAACCTCCGCAAATAATGCATTAATTTAAAACAGATTTCTTTTTGCATAAAAAGGGTTACTATGAGCCAACCTTAAAAGATAGACATATGCTATCGCGGACTTTTTTTTAGAAATTTTAAAGGGCAACAATTCTGTCGTACATGATTTTTGCGAAACTTTAACCGTTTACGCAGCGTCAGCTCTCAAAAGGAAAAAAATCACTGATTTGAAACATTCTTCATTGGTGCTCCGCTCCTATTGGTCTTAGCGTGATGATATATAGCCTAAAGCCTTCAGGAACTAACGGGCTATCCAACACAAAAAGAATTTTTCAAATCGGTCCAGTAGTTCCTGAGATTAGCGCGTTCAACCAAACAAACAAACAAACAAACTCTTCAGCTTTATAATATTATTAGTATTAGTATAGATATTGCTCATTTGGCATTGTTGCTTATCACATCATATGTTGCTCCCGTAACGATTAAAAACCTCATACCACTTTTTCAGTCGGTAAAAATAAGGCGGTTAGACGGGTAGATAGCACAAAGGCCATGCTGGCTGTGTGATTTTTAGTTTCCTTGTTTCGTTTGTTTCCAATCACATGATTTTTCACATTTTTCTGCATACGTTGATACATATTATAATAACAAAATCTNTGTGATGTTAACAAATTCTATTGCATCTTTTTTGTAATATAAAATTGATTAACTTCTGTAGGTACTATTACCCCAAAGAATTATCCCATAGTTTAGCCAAGCATTAGCATAAGCAGGCATAGTAGACACTGGTAGCAGTTATTAGATCTGTGCAGTTTTTGAACTCCTTGTGAATTTTGAGTCAGTCTATTAGCAATCTATGTGTTTGTATCCAATTAATATTTGAATCTATTTCTATTCTTAATAATAAGCTTATTGCTTCCATAATAGTAATATAAGTGTCTAAGTAGGTAGGTACATGGTACATATAGGTGTTACAACAATGTGATTTATTAGACGAATTTTATACTATTGTTATTAAATGTAATATTTGTATCAAGTGGTTGTTTTTGCCTTTATTTAATTAAGATTTATGTGATTCTGAACATAATATCCTGCGTATGAAGCATTCATTACACATTAAAATCAACATATTAGATTGTTGAATACACACTTATACACTTTTACAGATTACTTCAGACATAAAAAAGTAATTGTGCTTATACCTACTGGTTTAAAATTGTGATTTTCATTCAAAATATCATTAAATTCAAACCTAAATTGAAATTGGCCTAAATAAATTTGATGATTTTCATAACATTGACATGTCAGTTGACAGATGCTTTTTTAATTATTGACTTTGTCCTAAGTAATTACAGCCAATGTGTTAGAAATAAATGGTTTTTAATGACTTTATATCAATTTGTATCGACAAACCACTTCATTTTAATTAGTTTACGTTGTAATTGAATCACAGAAAATAAAAAAACGTATATTTAAAACAAAAGAATAGTTCATTCACTCATTTTGTCCCTTGGTAGATTTTGAAAGGATTTTAATGGCAACACCATTATCTATTCGATTACGATTGCATTACAATTACACTACGACTCCATTGATATTGTATACAAGTTTTAGCAGAATACCAAAGAAGAACGGTCATCTGTGACCCAGGCCCGACAGAAACGAGACATACCTCAGTTTTTTTGTCATGTCTTAATTAGTAAAATTATATATTTTTTATATTCGAAATCTATGTATAACACCAAAATATTATCCTTTGTTTTTGTTCAGGTGTTATACAAAAACTAATACAAAATGCCTATTTATCACCAAAATTGGTAAATGTATGTACCTAAATATCTATTACAGCTGCTATGGAATGTATCTAGGTGACCTGGAGATACAGCCGGATTATACAGGGTGGAAACGATAAGTGATCTCACTCGATTATTTTCTAAACTATACAAGATATCGAAAAACTAGTTACTGATTCTGAAAGTGCTTCACGAGCTCTTTCAAATGGTACCAAATAATAGGTTACAGATTATAGAAGCTGGTAACATAGAATTTTTGGATTTCGTAACTTCTCGTTTCCACCCTGTATAATCCGGCTGTATCTCCAGGTCACCTAGATACATTCCATAGCAGCTGTAATAGACATTTATTTAGGTACATACATTTACCAATTTTGGTGATAAATAGGAATTTTGTATTAATTTTTGTATAACGCCTGAACAAAAACAAAGAATAATATTTTGGTGTTATACATAGATTTCGAATATAAAAAATATATAATTTTACTAATTAAGACATGACAAAAAAACTGAGGTATGTCTCGTTTCTGTCGGGTCTGGGTTTTTTTTGTATGAGGCGTGACCGTTCTTCTTTGTCTCAATCGTAATGGAGTCGTAATTGAATATCAATTGAATAACAATAGCATGTCATTCAATTAAAAATAGCAGACTTGGGGCCCAGATGCCTCGGCAGCGCCGCTTCGGCCAGCGCTAGGACTTGCATTCGAGAGCCGAAGGTGCCGCCGCCCTCCTCGATTACGAGACCTACGCCTTAAACTATCGCCAAGAGAGTTGCTGTTAGAACAACAAACTCAACTCACCATCAGCCTCGTCAGCAGACTATGCGCCGGCGCATGGTCAACCAGCCACAGCGCGACCAAATGCCTCGCAAGATGGCGGTGGTGTAGCCGCGCCGGTGCGTACAGTGCAGCTAACAGATGCCTCGGCAGCGCCGCTTCGGCCAGCGCTAGGGCTTGCATGCGAGAGCCGACGGTGCCGCCGCCCTCCTCGATTACGAGACCTACGCCTTATACTATCGCCATTGACGGGTACTATTCGAACAAACTCAACTTACCATCAGCCTAGTCAACAGGCTATGCGCCGGCGCATGGTCGACCAACCACAGCGCGACCAAATGCCTCGCAAGATGGCGGTGGTGTAGCCGCGCCGGTGCGTATAGCGCAGCTAACAGATGCCTCGGCAGCGCTGCTTCGGCCAGCACTAGGGCTTGCATCCACCTCCTCTATTAGCGCACGTATGTCGAGACCAGCGCCTTATACCATCGCCATGAGGGGTTTATTCTGTTAGAACAACAAACTCGACTCACCATCAGTCAGGGCTTGCATCCGAGAGCCGACGGTGCCGCCGCCCTCCTCGATTAGGAGACCTACGCCTTAACTATCGCCATGAGGGGTGGTGTTAGAACAACAAACTCAACTCACCATCAGTCTCGTAAGCAGGCTATGCGCCGGCGCATGGTCAACCAGCCACAGAGCGACCAAATGCCTCGCAAGATGGCGGTGGTGTAACCGCGCCGGTGCGTACAGCGCAGCTAACAGATGCCTCGGCAGCGCCGCTTCGGCCAACGCTAGGGCTTGCATGCGAGAGCCGACGGTGCCGCCGCCCTCCTCGATTAGTGCTCGCATTACTAGGCCAGCGCCTTTTACTATCGCCATTGAGGGGTGCTGTTGGAACAAGAATAGTACTGGTTGTGAATGACGCGTTTATTGTTCACTAGAATAATCGTTTAAGCATGAGTATGGAAACTAATTATCAGCATTTATTTCATAATTCTTTATCATCAATCTTTCGTTCGTTTCAGTTAGATGACGTCGACAGAGACCTCCCCTAAGGCCAATGAACGGTCCATCGCTGCCCGCATCCAGGATCATCCCGCGACCTTTACCAGATCGTCGGTCCGCCTAGTAGGAGGCCTGCCTAAGCTACGTTTTCCAGCCCGTGGTCGCCACTGCGATCATCCATCAATTTGATTATGTATTTTCATAACGATTGTCACAGGCATGAAGTGACAAATGGTTGCTACTAATACAGTGAGCATATTCAAGGAAAAGAACGCAATTTTTAACGTAAAAAACCTACTAGGAAGGAATATGTTTCTGTTTTCCAAATTATAACGACATGTTTATACGACTTGCTTGGAGCACAATTGTAGTATTTTCTGATCGTTTTCTCTGTTCCGATCAGGTTTTTTCACAACAAAAATAACAATGCTTACAAACAAAATATTTCAGTAAATGAAAGCACCCACCTCAAACAACTTAAACAGCACGCGCCCCTTATTAGCGACCATTTCCAACAGCTGGTCGAATTGCTTCCCGTCCGTGGTCTCGCTGTACGGCACGCACAGAGCGAACGTCAGGAAGTCCAACATGGCCGCCACCACCAGAGCGCCGCTGCCCGATGTCTGGCAAATAGAGCTGGTTAATATGCTGAATAAACGTTTTGTTGCACTTGCGCATCAGCATTAAACGTTGCTTCTTCTCTAAATTGCTCCACATTATTGTCTCAAAACAATAAGGTTTTACCGTGATTACAAATACACAATACATCCGCAGCTAGCAATGAAAATACCATACAGCGTCATCTGTTGGTGCCATTTTGAATCAGAATCAGAATCATCATTTATTTGCTATAAATGTGGTACAGGAGATGGATACAGTTAATGGTTAGGTCTCACAATTAGTCATTTCTGACTTATAATTATTTTAAACTAATGTGTTACATTTTTACTATAAATAAAATTATGACCATGACTCGTGCAAACGAGTTGAAACGTCGGGAGGGTAAATATCTGTTTACCGTTATACAAGTGTTTTTGTTGCAAAATCCCTTGACAGTGATAAAATTTATTGTGAACTTAATAGAACACTCTTAAACATCTTTTTTCAATTAAATTTGAACGACTGAAATTAAAGCTCAATGGGAAGATGGCTGGGAGGATTGCTAGGTATCAGGGCGGAGCGGACTCACCACGTGCTCTGCCCACATGGTCAACAGCCCCTCCAAGAAAGAGGCCGACGACAGCATGCTAGCTTTGTTCAGCTGCTCCTGTCTAAGGTCGGGTTCCTGGTGCATGGGCTGCATCAGTGACGTCACTACACCCGTGCTGCATCCGTGACGTCACTACACCCGCGCTGTAGTGCAATGAAGGAAGCAGACTCACCACATGCTCCGCCCACATGGTCAAGAGCCCCTCCAAGAAAGAGGCAGAAGACAGCATGCTGGCCTTGTTCAGCTGCTCCTGTCTAAGGTCGGGTTCCTGGTGCATGGGCTGCATGAGCGCGCAGACCGCGTCTAAAGCCGCGTGAGAGCAAGCTGGAGAACCGCGGCGTAGTGCTGTGACTACAGCTGTGCCGATCCATTCACGGAACCTGTCAATATTACAAATACAAATAACTAGGTTTCTTGTCAAAAAATTATAAGTTCTAGAATTTTAAGACAAAACTAAGACGAAGAGCAGTCGCCCGGCAAGCGAAAGGTCGTGGGTTCAATTATCGCCTTAGGCAGTTCGATTTTTTCTTTATCTATACTAATATTATAAAGCTGAAGAGTTTGTTTGTTTACTTGAACGCGCTAATCTCAGGAAATACTGGTCCGATTTGAAAAATTATTTCAGTGTTAGAAAACCCATTTATCGAGGAAGGCTATAGGCTATACAACATCACGCTACAAGTAATAGGAGCAGAGCAACAATGAAAAATGTTGTGAAAATGGGTTTTCACGCGTACCTACGAAATCGCGGGCACAGCTAGTTTATAATAAAAAAAAACTAAGACGATCAAATTTAGAACCAGAAGATCAAGAATTTGTATACGTTGGAATATACACACACTACTACACAATTCTGTCTAAGGAGCTGAGCCCGCCTGTGTAGCATATAAAAGTTACCGTGGTAAAAAAAAACAAAAATCGGATTAGTTATGCTTTCTGTCGAGTGGCAAACAAGGTACGTCACATAAGTCACATTCGCACATCATCACTAAACTACAAAAAAAACATAACAACCCAATTGAGAACTTCATCCTTTTGTTGAAGTCGGTTAAAAAGTCATTCAACTCACCCGGGCAGAGCAGTAAATGCAGCGAATCCAACTTTGCTGGCGCACAGCCGTCTCAACGCATGGAACTGCGCTTCCAACTCCCGCGGCGGTAGACTTCCACCAGACGTGGCACTGCTGACCAGAGCAGTTAGGGCTCCGGTAATCAGCTTTTCTTTGTTCTCCGCGAACAGCCTCTGAGGAGAGGAGGTGTGTTGGTATTGTGTGTGATGACGTAACAGTGAGGCACTCTTTTGGTTAATGACAACAACACAAGCGCCAAATGTTGGTAGAAATTGAATAGATTTTTTAATTTTATTTTCAACAGATCAGCTTTGAGAAGCCATTATCAAGCTGTAATCAATGAGGGACTCTTTTTTACTTGTTAACCACAGTTACTGTTTTTTTTCGCTGCGAACTGTTTTGAGAAGCCAATTTTGGATATGTTGATTTATTTGATGTGTTAGCGTAATCAGTGTGGTGCAATCTTTTATGTAATGATTTTAGAACGGCCGGGCGGCCAGACGTCAACTTTCCAAAAAACACAAATAGGTCTCTGCATAGGTAATCTGCATATTTTTACAAAGCAATAAAATGATGGCTATTTACAGAAACTTAAAATCAACTATTACTTGTAATGACTAAAAGTGAAGTGATATGATGTCTATGTTTAGTAATTTTAATAATATTGATGATAAAAATGAGATAAATTTCATATCCCACACCATTTCAAATATTCTGAATAGTTATTCGGTTGATTCTCTAGAAAAGTATAGATCACAGAATAATAAAAATTTCCTTCTAATGATTGAATATCATTTTCAGAAACAATGTGAATTGAAAACCGAGTAAAATAAAATGAAAAGAGTTCATGCAAAAATGTCTTTTAAAGAAAACCTGTCACCAAAATCCAATCACCTCATGCTTTTTTGGATACATTTTTATTATTCTGCAGTGAGTCTTCCAAGACCGATCTAAGTTTACAGAGGGTGGATAGATAATAATAACATGAGGGACTTACGATATCCCACGTAAGAAACAGCCACAACAGGGGGCGAGCCTACAGGGCACACAACATCATGTTACACCCCAGTCGAGAGCAACAAAAAACAAGCAAAACGTGAATTGAAGATGCAAAGCAAATCACAAAAGCAAGCTAGTTTACGTTGGGCTTTCAGTGGCCTAATTCACGTATTTTGACAGTCAAATCTCGCTGACGTTCAGAAGTCGTCCCATTGAAAACCAGTTCTAAATCCGTATTCACAAGGATCACTTTAACAGAACGATTACTCGATAGGATCGCTACTCAGCGATTTGTTGTCATTGACGTTTTGTTACGTCGTCCCATTGAAAAACAGTTCTAAATCCGTATTCATAAGGGTCATTTCGATAGAACGATTACTCGATAGGAACGCATTCAGCGATTTGTTGTCGTTAAAGTTTTGTTACGTGAATAAGGCTACTGATGTNCTTCTCGTAGTGTTGTGTTGCACGACTTGCACGGAGTTGACATGATGACGATGATTGATGTTGAAGTGACGTCACGGATTTGCTCTGCTCAATCGGGGTAGCCAATTTGATTCCATGTCAGATGAAAGCTGGCGGAGGGTGATGCTGGTGATGGAGGTTACGTCTCACATCACGTTGGTTTAGTACGTTTATCTTCGTCGTCGTTCGTCGGCTTTTCGGGGTCGCCAATTTGTGTCATCTTCGTCAGGATCATCAGATCACGTCGGGTTCTTCTTCTGGGTCCGGTTCGTCGTCGGGGTCACCAATTTGTGCCATGTTGGGGGACCGTATGAATTATACAAGAGTTNCACTTATGTTATTGCACGTTACGACGCATTATCCAACAATATCGGAGAACATTTCCTCAGTACGACTGAATCGCGACTAACCTGGCGTCGCGGGCGATGTTCGTTTCTGGGCATATCGCGGAGACACGCGCCACGCCCCCGTTTCACATCTATTCCCTTCTATGATCTGAGGTCTCTGCTATATGTCTGTTTATTAACACGAACTGCGTGACTATTTATACGATATAGATTAAAGGTAAACGACGTCACAGCATCAGCACTATACGTGATAAATGTGCTGACACTGTGAACGTGATCAAGATAAGATATGAAGAGATTTAGTATTGTGCATACCGGCACAAAGCGCATCGCCGTGACGAGCGGTCCCGCAGTCGCCACGGCGGGGTGCGTCGCCGTGATGAGCGGTCGTGCAGTCGCCGTGACGAGCGGTCGCGCAGTCGCCGTGACGAGCGGTCGCGCAGTCGCCACGAGCGGTCGAGTAGCCACCGCAACGAGCCACACGACCAGCGTCATGAGCGGTCGCGCAGTCGCCACGGCGAGGTGCATTNAGTTTTAGTGGGTTAACGATAGGTTTAAATATCGCATTTAGAGTCATGTCATTTGAATTTTGTACATCCTTTATCATTTTTACCTTTCTTTTTACAGCTGCAGCAGATTTTACTATTTGTTCCTTGAGGTTTCGTTCCATTGTTAAGAATTCCGCTTTGTTTGACTTCTCTAATGAAACTGAATGGTTGGTAAAGTTACAGCTATATAAAAAGTTTAGTCCATTATTATGAATGTATCAAACTTCATGCGATAACAGCCTTTGTTTCGTTCACAATCCTTATTGATGACCACATAACTATAAGGTTTACTCCACACAGTTGACCACATCATATACATCATAATTAAAGTTATGTATTAATAAGATATAACTATTTATTGCTATTTTGGTTGATTTATATAGAAATATAAATTAAATACATACCTACATGTTATCTAGTTTGAATGTTTATATTTTGTCCTTTTGATTAAAGTATTTAAAATATGATAAATGTTTTTATATAACCCCCTTTATAGTGATAAAAGTATAATTAACACATCAAGATGCCCGACTATCTGACATTTCAGAAGTGGGATCGAAATTGCAATTTTTTTTCTTTTTCTCCCAAGTTCGCTTATTTTTTTTTTACTAAATGACCGTTTGCTGTGTCGAACGGACGCACTGCGTAAAGGTTTTTGAATTTTTCCAGAAAATGAACCAGCCTCTTGCATCACCACGGGCGCGATCAAATTCGCGTCCGCCTGAGCAGATAGACAGGGCTAGTCCAAGCCCTGTGTTGAAGACACCCGATGTTGGTTCTTACCAACAACGCATCCAGCGTGACAAACTGTCGCGCAGTCACCACGATGAGACGCGTGGTCACCGTGATGAGCGGTCACGCAGTCACCACATCGAGGAGCGCGGTCGCCATGACGGGCGATCGCACAGCCGCCACGACGGGGAGTGCGGTCGCCGTGACATGCGGTCACGCAGTCGCCACGGCGGGGCGCAATGCCGTGACAAGTGGTCGCGCAGTCGCCACGATGAAGCGTGTGCCATGTTGGGGGACCGTATGAATTATACAAGAATTGTTGTTAGTCTCTGCTATATGTCTGTTTATTAACACAAACTGCGTGACTATTTATACGATATAGATTAAAGGTAAATGACGTCACAGCATTAGCACTATACGTGATAAATGTGCTGACACTGTGAACGTGATCAAGATAAGATATGAAGAGATTTAGTATTGTGCATACCGGCACAGTACTCCCCGCCTTTAAATAAGAAAAAATAAAATAATGCGCTAATTACAATAACATACATAAATTATCTACGTTATTACATGGTTCAATGTTCAATCTCTACATACTTACATACAAGAAATATAAATAATGTGCTAATTACATAATACAAATTACAATAACTATCTACGTTATACAANGCCGTGACGAGCGGTCGCGCAGTCGCCGCGAGCGGTCGAGCAGCCACCACAACGAGCCACACGACCAGCGTCATGAGCGGTCGCCCAGTCGCCACGGCGAGGCGCATCGCCGTGACGAGCGGTCGCGCAGTCACCGCAAGCGATCGAGTAGCCGCCGCATCGAGCCACACGACCAGAGTGATGAGCGGTCGCGCAGTCATCGCGACGAGCCACGCCGCCTGCACGCCGACCAGTCGCCTAGTCTTCGAGACGGTGTGTCGACCAGCCAACCAAGTAAGCTCCCTTTTCGTTTAAGCGATAGTGAGTCAATTCCATGTACCTTTACGTTAGATAATATCTCTCAAATAGTACAAGTGCTAAAGTCAATTAATCAGACCGATTCATTGGATAAATTGGGCTCTATGAACAATACGGTACCGGAATTCGATCCCAAGAGAAAGGAACAGACGATGGTCATGTGGTTACATAAAGTCAATGAGTGTGCTAGTATTTACGGTTGGACAGAAAAACAAATAATTCACTTTGCATTACCCAAATTACGTGGCGTCGCTCAGCGATGGTATGAGGGGTTATCTACTGTTCTTTACTCTTGGGACGAATGGCAAAAGAAACTGATTTCTGCATTTCCGTCTGAAGAAAATTACGGCCAAATGCTAAGCGATATGTTAGCTAAGCGAGCGCGATTCGGTGATTCTTTAGAAGAATATTACTATGAGAAAATAGGCCTGCTAAACAGATGCGGTATTGTAGGCACTAAGGCGGTAGAATGCATCCTACATGGCATTGACGATAGGTCCATAAGACTAGGTGCCGAGGCAGTAAAGTTCGATGACCCAGATAAACTTTTATCATACTTACGTAATGCGAGACACGTTAAACCTTCTAATGATCGTAAAGTAGGTAAACTTCCCTTAAATAAAAATCAGGATTCTCAACCCAGACCATTTAACAAACGTTGTTTAAATTGCAAGCAAGAAGGTCACTTACTGGCGCAATGCACGGTTCCCTTAAAAAAATGCGGGAAATGTAGTAAAATTGGCCATGAGACTGAACAATGTTATTCAAAACGACCAATACCAGATAAAACTGTCTTACGGGTAGCTAGTAACGAGATAGAGATGATATCAAACGATTCGGTAGATCTTGGTGCGAATCAAAAATATTTTAAATGTGCTCTAGTTAATGGAATAGCGATACCGGCTTTCATTGACTTCGGTAGCGAGTGCTCAATGATTAAATTAAGTGAGTTCAAAAGATTTAACACCCACTTTACTACGACAGACTTGCCCGTACTGAGAGGATTTGGCAATTCCATGGTAAAAGCCTTAGGAAGCCATAAAGTACAGATTGTAGTCGATGGAGTAGCAGCACACTTAGATCTTGTTATAGTCCCGGATACGGCCATGCATG